GCGTCCCAGGCCTTCTTCGCGTTGGCAGCACCGGTAACCATCGGCAAATGATGATCCTTGACGTTCTTGATGAGCAGATTGATGACCTTCCGTGACTGTCGAATCTGCTCCTCGTTGCACGGCTCGGCGAGCAGGGATTGCTCAAGCCCAAGCTCCATGCACATCGCGCTAAATCGAATTTGCCAGGTAGAGTAGTTGTTGAGATCCAGCGACTCATCAAGCTTGTCCTTAACCATTGTTGATGAGGGATAGAAATAACAATTGGGCGATAACTGTCGGCGCTAATCGGGGCTCATAACCTATTGAAGAATTGGCGACGGTGACAGCTAACGCTAATTGTTATTCCGGAAGGATTGCCGGTGGCGAAGATATTTAGCACGATAAACTGTTACAAGTAATGTAAAGAGTATTGTTAGCGTTCGGCAGGACTTGAGGAGATTCCTGGTAGGAATACCGATCGTTGTGAGATAAACTAATAGGCGCAGTCACCGCCCTAAATACCGGCGCTAGCGGAAAACTCGTACATTCCGCGATCTAACTGCACGTACATTCCGCGATCTCACTGCGCCGTCCAGACGGTGCCCTAATGTCTATCACTTAGCTACCGGATACGCATCGGTAGCCCCATAAGGTTCTGGGGTAAGATTTCCCCATTAGTCAGGTGCAGACCCGGGGTCAAATCCCCTGGTCGACAACCACACGAGTTGGGAGAGGACCGTTTCCTCAACAGTCACCTCGAAGTTCTTGACTATCGAGAGGTCGCCGTATTGATACTCACTGGCTGTTGCCCAGAGAATGGGAGACCGGGATGAGGCACGGGACGGCCCGTAGCAAGAGAGTGTCACTCACGGGGGGGTGTTGGAAATGACCGACACACTTGTTGGAAATGACCGACACACTTCTGTGCTCCTGTCTCCCTTAACCGTATTCTCATGGCTATGTCGACTCGAACGTGCTGGCTGACCGTGCAAGGAATGGTAGAGACGGGAAGCGGGGAGACCAGCTGCCAAGGGCCCTTACACTGCAGTAGAACACAACCCCAGCCAACCACGGCCGCCCGAGTACGGCCCCTTCGGCCGCCACACCACCAACGCGCGGCCAAAAAACACTCCTCCTCCCCCGAGGCAACACGCGCGCGACAGACAACACAGGCTTAGGGTGCCCCTCTAGCAGGGGAGAGCAGGGAATTGCCTCGGCAAGGAGTCCACTGGCGAAGCTTAACCACCCTGTAACAACATCAACATCAACACAGAACGCGAAACCAGAGGACGCCCAACGACCACCCCAACAAACTCACGACGGCGACCCTAACATCCTGAAGCCTGAGCAAAGACACCGGCTCGGTCCTACAGCGAGAAGCACCCCCTACCAAAGCTCTGAAGGCCACGCTACTAGGCTAAAAGACCCGACCGCAACCAAATCATCCTAAACCCTCAACTCCCGACCCGCCTGCTGTCTAGCCACTTCTTAGCGAGCATTTTCCACCGGTCCACCGCTAGCCGCGCCCGGTGTGGAGGTGTCTGGGACTGACCGGTGTGTTAAGAATATGAAGGAGGCAAGGAGACTGGTTGCAATATAAGTATTACAATCGGTAGGTGAGTGGTGAATGGCAGGAAGACTTTAGGAGATTCCCACTAAGGAATACCGATCCATACAAAGATGAGATGCGAAGACTTGCACAACTCGTGTCTTATATACCAGTACCAATGGAAGTATCGTACAGATGTCCACCATCCCTGGACCTGAGGACACGTCTGAGATACGCGGCCGAGAGACCCGAGGCAAGGTCGAGGTATGTACAGCCGAGGCAAGGTCGAGGTACGGCCGAGGCAAGGTCGAGGCACGTCCGAGGCATCGCCTGTCACGCCATATGGGGGATATGATGATTATAGAATAGGAGCTCTCCTTAAAGCTCCGGCTTGACTTGGCTGGCTCACTCCAGCTTCGTTAACTTGATTTGCGCGATCGCAGTAGGCGAGGACGGGCTGGGAACGGATCCCTGTCGAGCCTAGAGGTAGGAGCACTAAGGGCGGACCTTATGGAATGCTGTGTGTACACTCTCTGTCTATCCTGCTCTGCTGCGCGTGTCGAGGTAGGGTAGGATTGCAGTCTTGTTACACCAAACAGTCCTATCAACCCTCCTATAATTATATTATCTTCAATAATATAATGGTCTATACGCTCACGAAGAGTTGCTTCGAGAGCCAAACGACAAATGTTTGGCCTCTTCGCACTCGCATTTATGGCGAAGTACCGACTGATCCACGCCGGGCCTTATCACACCCGGCCCTACCCTGGATGCGTAACGCTCATCCGACTAACGACAGATGAACGACAACCTAACATCCTCAAATCACAACGGAAAGCGCCTTATACGCTAGTCAGGCAACACCCAAAGTCTCAATTAAATCAATGCGCGGTTCGCCTAACTACCTTCGGTTGGCTTAGCCACCTGCGGATAGCGACTAACTCGGTCGTGGCACGTAATTTGTGCGCTCCAGATGTTTTGGCGTGACAGCTGTCACGCCATATGACGTGCTAACAGACATAAGAAATGCGGATGGATCACTCCCCCCCCCAGCTCATGCGCGGATTGCGCTAGGTGAGCTGGCGGTACACCACTCAAAAAGGCAC